CGACAGGGGCAGAGGGGCCCCCCCTGCCAGTACCTCCCCCTCCCCCTCCCCGACCCTGGGAGGCAGCTATTACGATCATCCCCATTTTACAGAGGAGGATACCGAGAAGTAGAGAGGTGAGGCCCTTTCCTGGCCAGTGACAGATCTGCAGGATGAAGCTGGGCCTGTGCTTCACAACCCCCCTACCCCAGCTACCCCAAGGGGCTGGGTCCTGGGCAGTGGGGCACCCACTAGCCTCCCAGGCCCTAGCCTGTTGCTGCGCCTCTCTTCCAGGAAGCCATCCTCATCTCCCTGGCTGCCCTGCAGCCTGGCCTCACCCACGCGGGTGCCCGGCCCAGCTGAAGGTTCTGTCGGGCCCAAGATGGCACAGAAGCAGTGGTGAAGCCAGAGGTTCCCACGGGTCACCTGGGACAGACACACCAAAGACTTGTCTCCAAAAATGAACACCTTTAATTTGACCCAGTCCCCCCGACCCCACAGTCTGGCTGGGGCTGCCCTTACTTGCTGCCTGCAGTGATGGCCTTAAGGCTGCCTGTCCGTGCCAGGATATTTGGCACAAAGAGCAGCCCTGAGGCCCGCTCAATGCTCTCGATGGGCACCAGGAAGCGCTCCAGCGGGACTGACTCATCCACAGGCGCGTTGGGCATCACATAGGAGCGGAGTTCGATCTGCCCGCCTGCTGCCTCCAGGATCAGCACTTTGAAGAAGTGGGTGGGCACTGCCACGTGGTTCTTGCCAATTACCTGGTACTTCACATAGGACTTCCCATCAGCCTCCGTCCTGTGGGCAGACCCAGGCACACATGGCCTTTTAGGGCTCCTGGGGGGCTTGGTCAGACCCAAGGCCACCGCCTCCAGGAAGCCTTCCCTGACCCGACCTGCAGCTTGTGTCAACCTGCAGGACCACCCCTCAGCGTGAGGCTTCTTTGCCCTGCTTGGCTCCCCCAGGAGGCTGGGAGCTCCCTGCAGGGTAGAGACTCACTCTTCCCCTGTTTTCTTCATGTCCAACACTGGGTCAGGTAGAGTGGGTGGTGGCAATAAACGCTGCAGAAAGAATCAGGCCTTCATTCACATTCATCAGTGTGGACCCTCGATTACTGTCTGTCTCTCCCTGTGGAGGGTGGGCACCAAATGGGCAGGGCTGTGGCAGCGGAATTCCCAGCACCAGCACAGGGCCTAGGGCAGAGCAGGTGCCCAGAGCACCAGATGGGTGACTTCAGGCTAAGCCTCCACGGCGTCCGCTCCATTTCAGCAGGCCAGAGGAGGCACTTGCTAACTAAAGTACATCAGTGTCCCAGCCAGTGCCTCAGCAGGCCTGTGCTGAGCCCTTACTATGGTGACATCCACCATCCCGCTTTGTCCCTTAAACAACCACGTGGTAGCTAATGGGTATTATCCCCATTTTACAGGAGAGGATGTTGAGTTCATTTGCCCACAGCACCCAGAAATGAGGTGACAGGGCCTGGATTCCAGCCCAGGCAGAGTCAGCTGTGTGGCCACAACCTCTAGCCTCACTCATCCCAGTGCTCAGCAGGCTAGAAAATCACCAAGCAAGCTCAGAAGAGCTCAGTCCCTTCTACCTGGGAGGCCGGGCTGCAGAGGGACAAGAGTAAAGGCTCAGGGTCAGGGAGATGGAGTTCAAACCTGGCTCCAGGGGAAGCATAGGGGAAGGCTGCTCCAAGCAGGGGAAACTGAAGACGAGAGCCTAGTGCGAGGGTTTCTACCCGCGCAGAACAAAGAGTCAGGTGGGTGTGAAAAGAGATGACACAGGAGAGAGGAACAGGGCAGACTCAGGGCCTGGTGCCCACGGGCAGAGATGTCTAGGTGGGTACCCCAAAGGCTTCTGTGGAGTAGAACTGGGGGGCCCGAGACAGGGAATGGACAGACTCGCCAAGAAACCAGATGAGTGGGGACCTAGCGGTGTTGACACAGAGCATGGGGGGAGCCTGGATGGGATAACTAGGAGGTGCTGGTGTCCCCAGGCCCCCTAGCTCTAGCCTTACCTGGGCAGGAAGAGAGGCCCCGTGCAGACATAGACATTTTGGTAGGTGCGGGTCAGGCTGCGGCTGTACTTTTCCAGGTTGTTCCAGGCATTCTGGTTGAACTGGGGCACCTGGCGGGAGAAGTGGGCTTCAGTGAGACTGGCTGGGACATTTGCAGTCAGAGGGCTGCCCCAGGTCCTGAGGGGCTGGCACTGGCATGGCGGCAGAAAGTTCCAGCGTGGGTGGGGGGTGGGAACAAGCAGGCAGAGGAAACAGGTTCATGGAAGGAGAGTCACTTAGCCTACATAGTCACGAGGGTGGGGCCCGGACAGAGCTCAAGGAGGTGCTACTTTCGTCCAGCTAGAGTGGGAGAACTAGCATCCCAGGTCTCAAAGCTGTTTCTCAGCTCCAAAGAGCCATATGAAGGAAAGGAACAAACCTCCCAGAGAGAAACAGGCCTGCCCACTGCCCCCAGGGGCTCGTGGGAAGACCAGCTCTCCCAACCATCTCTCCTTTCCTTTTCCTAGTCTGAACTGCATGCAGAGCTCAGCGGGGAAGGTCAGGAATCTGCTCCTGACTCCACCACTTGAGCTCTCCAGTCCTCAGCACAGTGTCTAGTCAAATGGATAGGGGACTGTGCTCCTGGGTGAGCACAGTCAGGTCAGAGAGGCTGGGACCTCACAAGCCTCACTCAGAGCCTGACATCCGTTTCCACGTGGGTGTCAGGCCCTGGTGGGAACAGGGCTAGAGGTAGGGCGGCTAGTCCCGGCGCACAGCCACTGCTACTAACAGCCACTGCGTGCAGCTATCTTTTTCCTTTTACTCCTGGAAGGGAGGCAGGGTAGGACAGTGGCTGAAAGCTCAGGGTCCTCTAGGCAGACTGCCTGGGTCTCCTCCCACCGTGATACTGTGCCAGTCACTTTGTCTCTCCGAGAATCACTTCCCTCACTATAGCTGGTATTTACTGAATGCTTGCCGTGGGCCAGAAAGTGTGCTCAGTATTTTTACGTGCATGGTGTCCTCAGTTCCTCAGCGCCTCTGCACGAGGTAGGTGAATAACAGTTTTATCCCCATTTTACAGACAAGGAAACTGAAGATCAGGGAGGCGCCCGGGGACCCTCGGTTAAGATCAGAGTGCAGAGCGGGTGCTCAGCGCCCCACCGCTCCCTCCCTTCCGCCTGCGGCGCGCGGTGTGTTTAGCCAGGCACCTGGCGTAGAGCGCGCACTCGGCAGCTTTCCCATCTGCAGAGGAGCAAATCGAGGCTCAGAGGCGAGCGGTGGCCTCGCCTTCCGCCGGGGCAGGGGGCGCAGGCGATACCTGGGGCGCGATGTTGCTCAGGTAGAAGGTGTCGTTCATGGCCTTCTGGCTCCAGCGGTGGTTGCCGGCGGCGGCGAGATGGCCGCGGTCGAAGCCGCTGCCCCCGTAGTCGGCGTTGGTGGCGCGGTGATACGCATGCACCGAGTCGTCCTCGTGGAAGTTGCAGGAGCGGCGGTCGCCGTCGCCGCGGAGATTCTCAGGCCGCAGCTGCTCGACCACCCAGAGCGCGCCGCGGGTGCGCGGGTCGTAACACAGCATGTACGACTCACGGCTCTTGAGCTGCGCCATCCCGGGCAGCCCGTACTTCGCCAGCTCGCCGGGGCTGCCGCCCGTCGGAGCCCCGGGCACGGCTGGAAGCCCGGCCGCCGCCGCCACAGGAAGCACGGGCAGCCGGCTCAGCAGCCCCGGCGCCGCCCGTCGCCGCCAGCCCTCGGCGGCTGCACCCAGTCCTGCGCCCAGCGCCAGGGTCAAGCCGCCCCGAAGCAACTGCTTAGCCATGGCTTGTGGCCGGAGCGCGGATGGAGAGCGGTCCGCGGAGACGAAGGAGAGCCTCGACCTCACGCGTCCGACCCGGGAGGCTCTGAAAGGGGCCGCACAGGCCTGCGGGGCCCACCGCGAGGATAGCGCCGAGCGGAAGAGTGAGCGGAACGCGGGTCCCTTCCACTCCCGAACGCTCCAAAGTATTAATATTATACTCAGGAAGCCAACAGTAGGCGTCAAGACCGGCCCAACTGGACCTCTCGGGGCCCTTCCTTTGCCCTTAAGACTGGGCGCTGAGGGGGCGTGGCATCGCCGTCGCGGTTTGTGATTGGCTGCCCCCAGAACCGGCTCCGCCCGGCCTGGTCGCCTTGGTCTCCACCGAGGGATCCTCCCGCTCCGCCAACTAAGATCCCGCAAGCCCCCAGGGGACAAAAAAAGCCTTAAAAAGGATCATACCTTCTAAATCACTTAGAGGACTGAGCTGGGGAAACAAATCAGGAATGCAAGGATTCCCCACCGTATTACTTATAATAGAAGCCGGGGAATAAGCAAAATATTCGGAAATAGGCACTGGTTCCGGACATTTTTAGCACATTAGAATAGTATCTAGACCATAAAAATATTTTTAAATCATACAGCAACTTGCTCACCACCTAACGTGAAGGGAGAGACAATACACAAAACTCCGTATCACGAAAATGACAATTATATAATAGTAATTACATCAACGAAGAAAAGACCAACATGTTATCGGTGATTTTCTCCAGATTGTGGGCTGTGAACAACTTGTTGAATTTCAAAATTTTCTCAATCTAAAAAATAACTTGCTATGAAATCATAATGTAATAATACCTTCTGCCCCAGTGCACACTCTCTCCTCCCTACAACCGCAAACTGCAGTTGTTAAAGAGTTGAATAGGCTCTTCCAACAATTTCCTAACCTTTTTCCTTTGACCATTCTAAGAGCTTCCTGACTCCATCTTTGCTCAAACATTTTTCCTGCTCAGAGGTCTTGAAGGTTTCAGCCCCTCACAGAACCAATGCCCACCGCAAAGAACACATGATTTATTAAAGACAACTTGTCATCAACAGCACTGATTCAAAGAACGAAAACAGATGAAAAAACAAAAGCAGACTAACATTCTGACCCTTGGAATGAGACCTGAATTCATACAGCCCATTCTCTAAGTGTTCAAAGTCCTGGGTGCAGCTTCCCAAGCAGGAAGCCTCAGGGTCTCTAGCTCTCTGGGGACCTCCCTTCAGAGTCTGGGGAGGGAGAATTGCCAAGGGCAGGTCCTCCCATTGGCGAGCTCAGTCTAACCTGGACGCGGTCCCTGTGCTCTTTTGACCTTCATCACAAGGTCAAGGAGAGGGCACTGGACCCAGGTCTGCCACTGAGGCAAATGAGATGCAGTGATTCTAGTATGGTCCCAGGAGGTAAGGTAGAGGGACAGGCAAGAGGCAATGCATCAGGTGTCCTGGGCAGTGTCTGCTGGGACCCAGGCTGTGGCCCAAGCGACAGGCTGTGAAGGTATCAAGTTGTGACTGAACCACCAGCCGACAAGTTCTGGGAAAAGGGTGAGCCAGGCTGCTGGGAAGCAGTGTTTCTACCCCATGCCGGTGTCTTGGAGGCTGGCAAGAATACCAACTCTCTTGTCTCCCTTACACCCAGTTCTATTACAGAGCTCAGGGCCCTCCCAGCCAGGACCTGCTGGAAAACCAGGAAGGTCCCAGAGGCAGGCGGAGAGGATGTTGACTGACCTTGGAAGGTCAGGAAGACCATGACTCCAGCTGGTTTCCACCATTCGAGCCCTACCCTTCATCCCCAAATTAAGCACTTGCCAATCTGCAATAAATAACCAGGAGTCTGAATAAATAGTAAAAATCTCCCAAATACTGTGCTGGGAGAGGAGAAGGAAAAAGGCAAGTGCATGGAGTCCTAGAAGCATCCAAGGGACAGCCTGGAAAGGTGCCTCCTTGGGGAAGCTGTCCCCGGCCCATAGCCACAAGTCCTGGCTGTCAGGCTAAGGAAGTTTCCGGGGGGCCTGAGGGTCCCTGCTGGCCAGTCTGGGGAGATGAAGAGGACCCGTGCTACGTGCTACGTTACCCAGCCTTCCAGATGCAAACCAGCTGCCTCCTCACAAAAGGAGGGAGGGCCTTGGTCAGAATAGGCCCACTAGTCCCACAGCCCAGCCTGGGAGGAGCCGGCTGCTCCTACTCAGTAGGCATGGGCCCCACATCCTGGGAGCAGCCCGGCAGGTGACCAGAGAAGTGCCTGCACCTCCTTCAGCTCCCCTGCCTGAGGGAGACATGGCTCTCCTGGCCCTGACAGGACCCAGGCCTTTGAGCTTGGCCACGCCTGGCCCAGAGAGGCTCTCTTTGGTCCCACCGCCCTTTATGGGACTTGCCTGCCCTGGGCCGGCACCTGGAAGCCATGGGAATGACTACACCTTAGAAGCACCTGGATCCCAACCTTAATGTCCTTTTTCTTTTGGGAGAGAAGGACCTTTGGGGGAACCTCTGGAAGACCCAGCTCTCCCTCTCCTCCCCCCTCCCTCCCTGGGCAGGTGGGTGAGGCTCAAAGCTTCATGGGCTATTAATTCTCAGCAACTCTGGGTTTCCAAGAATCCTGCGGTGGGGCAAGGGTTCAGGGCCCTCGAGTGAGGCACTGTGGACTGGGGGCCCTGGGAGCCCAGAGCTGGGAGATGGGAACAGACTGCGAAGGTCAAGGCTGACCTCCAGGAGCCTGGCTCAGCCAGACTCTTCATTCTGTCTCCAGGGTTCTTGGGCATAGCGAGGAGGGTGGGGGAGAGGCTGGGGATAAGGCAACCCAAACAGAGGGGAGAGAGCGAGCAACGGAGAGAGGGGCAGACAGAGTGAGAGCCGCACACCCTCAGTGAAAGGTGGAAGGAGAGAGAGGGAGACGGAGGCAGAGACAGACAAGAAGCAAAGACCAAGAGGGAGTCACCTCCCTCCATACACATGGAAACACACACACAGACGAAAGAGAAGCACACGTGAGGGGGATTAAAAGACATAACCCACAACTACACAACACACACACACTCTCTCTCTCTCACACACGGGAAAGAGACAGAGGGTGAGACCTGGGCCTGGCAGCCTCTCGGTGTCACCTTCCCTGTGGAGAAGGCCAGGCCCCAACCTCCGGAAGTGGTTTCTGGCTCATTTGCCAAGCACCTCCCCGACCAGCGCCCAGAAGATGGAGCAGGAGAGCAGGAAGAGAGAAGCAGAGCAGAGGCAGGGAGGGGCCCCTGCCTGCCCGCAGAGCCCGCGTATGCCTCAGCCCCAGGACACCACCTCACAAGCTCCTGCCCTGCTCAGCAGCCTGGGCCAAGGGTCCAGGGTTGAAGGGGTGGAGTGGGGGGGAGGAGCCAGGGCTCGGTGGTTGGGAAGAGCAGGGCCCAGCGGGCCCCCGGTGGGAGCGGCCAGGGTGAGAGGCCTGGAGCGGGCTGATCCTGCAGCGGCCCCGCTAGCTGGGACCCCACGGGCTCCTGCACGTCCCAGAAGCCAGGGCACAGGGGTCGGCGGTGGCTTCTCTCCCAAACCTGGGCCTCTTGCCGCCAGGCTACTGGGAGTCTTGGAGTTCCTTGGCTTTCTGTAGGATCTGGCAGACGTCTGTGATGGGGTAATCCTGGGCAGGGGAAAGGCCAACAGTATGCTTGAGAATTCAGCTCACCCTTCACCACCTCTGCTGCCCCCAGCCCTCTCCAGAAGACCTATCACCATGCTGGACCCCGGGCCTAAGGGATAGGGAGCACAGGATAAGCCCAGTCTGCCCAAACCTTGCATGGAGCTATACTACACCCATTGCAGCAGTTAACTTAACCAACCCAACTAGTCACCACCCAAAAGGTCTCACAGCCCCTTCCCTAGGACAAGGACCACCTGCTTCACCTCTCCCCACTCCTGCCATCCAACCCTGACCTCCACTGACAATGAGCCTGGAACAGGGCCAGACACTGTCCATGTACTAGCTCACTGGGTCACCTCAACAGCCCAATGAGGGCTTACTGTGAATCTGCCCGTTTTACAGATCTAGTCAATGAAGTTATTGAAAACCAACCCCAGGCCAGGCGTTGGCAAAGAAATTAAGGCCTAGAGAGGTTGCCACTTAGCTTAGGTCACATGACTAGCACGGGAGAACAAAGATGTGAACCCAAAATTGTCTGACTCTCAAGCCCATGTTCTTAACCACTAAGGCCCACACTTTCCTTCCCCTGGTCTGAGCACGATTACCAACGGGCATTATTACCACATACTAGGTAATAAGTCACAGCCTTGAGTGAATGACTTGGCTTCTCTGAACCAGCTTGGTTCAGAGAAGCCAAGTCATTCACTCAAGGCCACACCACACTCAAGGTCAGTGGCAAAGCCAGATTCAACCCAGATCCAAACACAGACCTGCCTCAGGGGTCTGGACTCTTAAGCCCTGCTACACTCTCCTGATCCTGATGCAGCCTATCACAGCAGCTGGCACGGGGCGGCCGCCTGCTAAGTGTCTGTCTCATGGCTAAAGACTGAGCCTGCCCCTCCAAACTCCATTACCTGCAGGAGCCGCATGTTTACCGTAAAGTCCCCTTCCAGCAAGTGCTCCCGGATCAGTCTAAGGAAAACAAGCAACAGAAGTGCTGGGCCCCTGGGCCACTCCGAGTGCAGGCCCGCCGGGCCCCTTCCCGCTCCTGCCGCCCCACCGCACCCGCAGCAAGTTTCTCTGATGCTCGCCTGAGAATCCCAGAAGCTCTCAGCAGCCTCTCAAGAGCAGGCCCTGCCCGGCCCCTGCTTGCGGCCACACTCACATGAGCATGGCGCAGCAGACCAGAAGGAGGAAATCAAAGCGGCTGTTGTCGGCAAACAGGGAGTCCCAGATCCGGATGACATCAGGCAGCAAGAACTCCTGGGACAGCAGCAGTGTCAGCCAGCGGAAGGCGAAGAACTGGGGCTTGATGTTCTGCTCTTGCTGGGGAGACAGAGGTGCAGGGTGGGTGCAAGAATCCATGTTGGCTGGTTGCCACGGAACACCATGCAACCTACTAGACATGAATTCATATAAGCAGCAGGCCAGGCGTAAGCGCCAGGCACGCTGGGGCGGGGATGGCACGGAGCTGCCTAGGGAGCCTCGCTCAGTGAAAGGGGCAGCTCCTGCTTGCTGCCAGCCAATGCTGTCAGATCGTCTGATGATTTTTTGAGAGAAGCCAGATACCCAAACTTTTATATCAGCTCCTTAGATTAATAAATACACTACACAGATTATAACTTTGGATTTACGGGCAGAGAAACCATTACTGGGCACTCATTACGTGTCTGGCCTTGTGCTTAACGTGGTAAATATCTCACTTATTTACTCCATACGGCAACACTGCAAGGCAATTATTCCCAATGGAGAAGAGCCCTCTGGTCAGCCACAGTGAATACTATTGACCGAAAAAGTGTGTTACAAAACAGCAAGACGTGATTCCATATTCGTTTAAAAAGATATGTTTATATATATCTTCTTGTTCATGAAACTTGTTTTGTTTATAAGTAAATATCCTTTTTACTGAACTGTTTCCTGAAATAAACACGGAATGCCACTCCACTAATTTTTAAAAATGAAGTTCATACTTCCTTTCCTGGAGGACTAACAGGCTGAACTAACAGCACACAGTAAAGGCCCTGCACCACGCCTGGCACACGGGGCACTGCGTCCACCTCCCCCACCCCCAGCCCGCTAGGCTCCCACCACCTGCTGCCCAGGTCCCCCGGCCCCGCCTCGGCACCCGGCTCAGCACTCCATGGCAGCAGCAGCCACTTCCAATCCCCAGACTCCAGCCAGTCCTCACCCTGGGCCTGGGGTGCTCAGGAGCCTGTCGTCCTCCGCCCCTTTCTGTCTGCCCTGGCCCGTGTGGTGCTAGGGGTCCTCACCAGTTTCAGGTAGAGTTCCATGTCCTTATCCTTCAGGGTGGAGTACACCTTTTCCATCTTGTAGGTGATGCCACACTGTGAGTCATCAAGGCTCTTGATGAAGTTGTCCCGGATCTCAGCCATGAGGTTGGTGAAGCAGAAAAAGGTGTCCGCCTCAGCGTGCTCTGGGAGAGATGGGCAGGGTGAGGGCAGCTGTGAGAGAACTGGCACCCTCCCGCGTCCCACCCCACTGCTCAGCTACGTGACACCCCCTCCCCTCACCAAGTCACCCCGCCTTGGTCAGGCTGTACCCCTCCTCTGTCCGTGGCCACTCCCCACCCCCGACTAAGGACATCACTTCTTTCTTCTCACACCTGACAATGCTGTACACCAGCTCAGCGACTGACTTACATGCTCTTCTGCTGACATTTTTTCAAATCGTGATTTACTTAAATCCTTTCTATCGTTCAGCTTCCTGTATATACAGCTCATCCCCTCTACCAGAAATTCAGTTACAGATAGCAAGAGGTCAGTAAACATCTAACATTCTAGAAAGTTCAAGCCAGGAAAGATCTCAGAGATGATCCAGGCCAACCCGCTTATCCGACAGAAAATGGAAGCCCAAAAGAGGGAAGTGAGCTGCACAGCTAGATACAACAAAGCCCATTGGCCTGGAGCCCGTTTATCTACCCTTCCACTCGCTGTTGGGGTCGGTGGCAAAGGTGTAGTACAGGGGCCCCACGATCTCATTCATGCCCTGCACGTAAGCGATGCCAGGGTTGAGCTTGGCGTAGATGAACAGAATCCGTTCCACCACCTCCCAGTGGGCCTCACAGCCGTTGGGCAGCACCTGATACTCGTTCACGGATGAGGGCGCCGCGTTCTTGTGCGGGGAGCTCATCTGGGGGAGAAGAGCAGCCCGTTACGGTGGGTGGCACCACCGACAGCATGTTCTCCCCGGATATGTTCACCCACGAGCTGAAACCTAACTTCCATCTCATGGGCAACCCAGGGCACAGAGGAACGCGTCCAACACCACCGGGAACAAGCGGATAAACCCAGAATGTGTGACACTCTACAAGCCAGCTGGACTGCAATCTAATGTATGGTGATACAGGTCAGATAGTGCTTACCTCTGAGGGAAGGCATACTGACTAGGAAGGGGCATGAGGGAACTTTCTGGATGATGGGAATGTTCCGTGTCTTGATCTGGTTGGCAGTTACACGGGTGTATACATGAGAAAAAGTTCATCTAGCTGTATACCTAAGATTTGTGCATTTATTGTGTGTAAGTTATACTTCAATTAAAAAAAAACTTTAAAAAATATAAAAATATATGAAAAACAGACAACTGGTTAAGACTCTTCAAAAAGTCAAATGTTGAGGAGGGGGGAGTGGAGGTGTGCTGCAGATGAAGACACTAAAGAAACGTAACATCCTAATGCAACGCATAAACCCTGAAGAGGTGCTGGTCTGGATTTAAAACAACCAAAATATTCTTAGTACGACTGAGGACACCTGATCCTGGACTGGATGTGAGGCGGTTAATCTCCGTAGGTGAGACAATGGTAAGTAGGATGTCCTTATTCTCACGGGATGCCTGCTGGAGTACTTGGAAGTAAAGGGTCAGGACGTCTGTCTGTATATGACACACACACAAACACGGCCAAAGGTTAACAACTGTTGAACTTAGGTGGAAAGTATATAGGTATGCACTGTACTCTTCTTTCAACTTTTCTGAATGTTTCAAATTTTTCATAAGAAAAAGTTGGGAGATGAAGGAAGAGATGATGATCCCCACTGAAAACTCATGCAATAGAGCCAAGGTCCCCAACATCAGGATCCCCTGCGAGCTTCGTAAAGGTTCAGGTGCCTGGGGTTAACTGTATGAGAGCCACAGGCACACCCATGCAGGGACAGAGTATGAAGCTGTCCTGGAAGCCCAGGGTCCTAGAAACAGGAAACTCCCCTTTCCACTATATATACACGTGTATACACATATACATGCGTGTACATGTGCACACACACAGACACACACATCACTAATGTTTACCCAGAGTGTTCTATTGCAAAACAGAGCTCCACAAGCCTTCCTGTTTAATGCCCTGAACGGCCTAGAATACTCTCTCAACATCATTTTCAAGATGAGGAAACTGAGGCTCAGAAATGTTAGGCCACTCATCAGACGTCTTGCATTAAAGTGAGCCCAGACCAGCTCACTCTAGAACCCGAGGTCCAGGCCTCAGAGAGTGCCCACTGCTTTCCAAGAATCTGCACAGCCATGACCTCATTTCACCCTCTGGGCAATTCAAAAGCCAGACAGGGCGGAAATGATTACACCCAGTTTACAGAAGAAGAGACGGAGGCCCAGGAAAGTGAGTGGTGTTAGCTGTCCAGGATCAAACAGTCCGCTTAAATTCAAAACTGCCCAGCCACTGGTCCAGAGGTCTAGCGATGGAGCTTGCGTTCCGGTTCTCTATCACCAGGACCAGGTCCAAACCTAAAATCAGCTCTCAGCCACCAATTACTGTATTAAAATGCATGAAAGAAGCCGGGTCCCCATCTTGACAGGCAGCCAGAACAGCAGCAGCCAAGCAGGAGGGCCACCACCCAGCCACGGGGCCACTTAGCCAAGCATGTGGCACCTCCTGACACACCCAGCTGTCGTGAGCACGTGGAACCCAGGGAACAACCAGAACGGCCCCGTCACCCCTGTGGTGGAAAACGGCTGCTCTCCTAGAAACACAAAGCCCTGACCGATCACTCCACTCGGGGGAAAGCGAGCTTAGCTTGTCGGAGGTTACAGAGGATTTTTCCATCGTTGGAAGGACAGCAAAAAACTGTTGGGAACAAGTCAAAGCTCCAGGTGCCGAAGCAGTAGGTGTAAATTAAGGAACAAGACAACGTGTTTAGCTACAAGCAACTTCTCAGAACCACAGGAACCTGCTAGAAGATCGAGGTTCAAACACTCAGCATCACCGCCAGCACAAAAGACCTATCATTCTTTTCTCCTAGGTCTCTCACCCCCCTCCCCGCTCCACCCCAGCCCCCACCCCACCCCCACCCCCCACTTGCCTGGACACCTCAGCTGCCTCCCAGGCGGCCTCTCCACCTCCATTCCTGCCCCAGCCAGTCAAATCTTGTATAAAGGCAGACTTAAATCACATCCCTGCTCTTAGAATGGTGCAGGGGTCCCCAGCCCTCAGGATAAAGGCCACGCTGGCCTCACCACCACTCATCTCTCCAGCATCCTTCAGCAGCCCTCCCCCCCAGACACCCCCCCCCGACCCCGCCCTGCCCCACCTCATGCTGGACTCCCTTCCTTGAACACACCCAGCTCTCTCCGGCCTGAGGATGTCCACACATGCCATCCTCTCCACCTGGAAGTCTCTTTCCTCTTCATCCTTGGAGCCTCAGCTTAAATGTCACTTCCTCAGGGAAGTCTTCCCTGATGCCCAGACCAGGTCGGCTCCCCCCATCACTGTTCCCACTGCACTTTCTCATCACACTGGTAGTTACTTTTCCAAGCGCCGTCTACACCACAGACCCGAAGTGTGGCTCCTTCACTGCACAGCAGGGCCCTCCCCCACACCCATTACACCAGCCTTTGATGCCTGACTTTCAGAGAGAGCCTGGAGGGGGACCAGGCAGGACCAAGGCTGCTTTGGGTAACTCTCGGGGCAGACGGTCAGGGGTCTGATGGCCCGTGGCCACGAGTCCAAGAGAAGCAGGAAGGAAAAGGCCATCACGGGGCGTCCCTGGGGCTGCCAGGTTGCCTCTCACATTTGTGACCCCGCTCCGGTTCCGGGCCACCGTCTGGGATTTCAGTGTCGTCTGTTCCACCCGCTTACGAAGGGTCTCGAACTCATTCTGCGGATCCAGGATGAGGAGGCAGGGGTACTCGGTGGCCCTCTGGAAGAAGGATATGTCTGGGCACAGCCTTCTGTCAAGAGGGAACAGGGGATGACTGTTACTCAGCGTGGAGTTTTTAGGCATCCCGCCAGCACCCCGCTGCCAGATGCCCCAGCATCCCCAAAGCCTCTTGTATGTGTGTGTGTGTTTTTTAATTAATAACATTTTATTTCAAAAGCAATATAGTCATGGTATATGTATACATACCCATATATCTTACGTGTATTTGCAAATAGACACACACACGCGCATATGTATTTTAAGTGTCCTTAGGGTCTTAACTCTTCTCTTAAAACAAACGTCTTTCCATGTCAAAAATATCTCATATGTACAAACGTATTAACTGCATTGTGTCTTAAAATGGTAAAAGAGGTTTCGTTAAGTTACACATTATACAACAGAATATTACACAGCTGACATAGGAGATGCTCAAGACAGAGCAAGAGAAAAAAGCAAGTTGGGAGACAGGCTCTAGATCGTGATCAAGTTTTTAAAATATATGTACTGCAGTACACGCACATTTTCCAAAGATCTTATACAGAGCACATTGCAAACTAGCCCTCTATAAACACTGAACAACGTGCTACAATCACTACCAGGGTAAGAACCTGTTTCCCCAGAACTGGGTTCGAGATGTGGTTCCTGACTTAAATGGGGCTATTAAACACCTGGTGAGTAGAGGCTCCAGACTGAGAAGGAGGCAAGAGCCCGTTCTGCCCCCTGGCTGAGCTGCCCAGGGTTGGGGTCCCACTGCGGGCACAATCAGCACAAGAGAGGAGCAGCCCCAGGTGGCGAGGGGCTGGAAACACAGCTACAAACGGTGAAGGCAGAACTGAAAGCAGGTGGGCAGACTCAGAACCCAAGCTCTAAGCACTGGGTCCACTGCAGACAGGCCTGCCGGCTCCTCACCCAGCCCTGTGGGAGAGTCACCCGCTGCCAGACTCACCCACCCAACAGGACAGCACAGCCAGCGTCTCCACACTTCTCTACCAAGAGGAACGGCACGCACATGCACACAGCGTAGCTCAGTTTAAAAAAAAACACTTCTGACCCTGTCGCTCCTGTGCTTAAAACCTTTGCGCGCCTGCCCCACATCCCTGGGATGGAGCGATGGTCTGACCCCTGCTTGCCTCCAGCGTGGCCGCAGGCACACAGGCCTTCGCACTGCTCCTCGGACAGCCAAGCTCTGTAGGCTCGCGGGGCCTCCCACGGCAGCTCCTCGCCCAGCACCACACGGCCCTCCCCTCCCCTCCCGCCCCAAGGTGCCCGCTCCTCCCATCTCAGCTGCCGCCTCAGGCGAGGCTTCCCGACCTCAGGGTGCCCTGAAGCACCCTGAACTCTGCCTTCAGAGCATTCTCCACAAACTTTAGTGACACGGAAGATCTGTTTTGTTGAACATCCGTCTTCCCGTCCTCCCTGCCAGCTTCTAGGTTCCTTAAGGAGAGGGGCCATGTCTGTCTATTCCGTGTTCAACGCCCAGCCTGCCGTTGAGCCTGCCATGTAGCGGGGCCTCAATATTTGCTGAAGGAAGGAAGAGACGAATCCACAGGCGCCAGGGCTACAACTGAAACTAAGGCAGGGAGAGAGGAGAGCCGGGCACTCAGGGCACTCACTGCACCGCCAGCCCCACCCCAGGCCTGCTATCACTAGGGCCTGGACTCAGCTACCAGGACAACTCACCAGCAGTTCCTCAAACACGCCCCTGTGGGCCTGGGCTGGGAAGGGACAGGGCAGAAGAACTGGAAATCCCACAGAAGCCCCAGGGGCCGGCGCCCAGCACCCAGCGCCCTGCTCACCGGACATCTTTGTCGATCTGCAGCAGCACCTCGTTGTCCTTGAAGTATGTGTTCCACCGGCTGTCGGGGTTAGGGTTGAGTGGCTGTCAGGGAAAATGAGCTGCTCTGTCCTCAGCCGGCTAGAAGCCTGGGGACAGACACCAGTCTGGAGGCCTGAGCAGTGCCTCCGAACCAGCACTCCCACCAGAGACGCAGCTGTGGCTGAGCCAGCCTGTGAGCTAGCTGGGGGGCAGCACAGGCCTCGCGCAGCCTCCCAAAGCACGATCACACTCCACACCCGGCAGCCGAGCCCCGTAGTCCGCTCTGAGTACTTCCCTGTGCGGCAAGGACTCTGCCTTTCCTGTCTGTAGCTCTAGAATGTTGCATGTAACAGGTGCTCACTAAATGCTTGCCTGCTGGATGAATGAATATTGTATCATTAGGTCTCTTCGAATCTAACTCATTACTACTGTGAGTTGCCAATTCCAGTCCTTGGAGGATCGGCCTAGGTCCAACCCATCTCCACTTCCCGACTGCAAAGCAGCAGGGAGGAGCTCGGTATTTGTGGCTGGAACGTGGCTTCCTCCAGGCCACACAAAGGCAGTTTATCCTCCCACCGGCCCTGCTCTGACTCCCTTCAACTATAATATCACAGAACCTTCCTCAAGGAAGGGGACTGAGGAGGAAAGGAGACAATGCACGTAGAGGACCTGGCTCAGCACTGCACACACACGCTCCTGTGACCCCAGTCATTGCTTACAGTCCCGACTGGGCCCAGAGCCTGCGGAGAACAGGGAGAGACAACAGCCTTCGGGGGCTGAGGAGCTAAATGCACAAATGAGGTACTGGGAGGGCCAGAGGGGACCAAGACCAGCTGCACCTGGCCTCTGGCATGAGGGACCTAGTCCACTCCAAAGCCCACACCTCTCCCCACTCTGCAGCCTCGGCCCCCACTGCGGACCCCTACTCACATGGTCCTCAAAGGTCACATCCTCCCTGGATACACCCATGTTGGCCTTGGCGATGCCAGGCTGGATGATCATTTCCCTCAGGAACTGAGAATACAGCTCCCTGTAGGAGAGAAGAGGAGAGAGGGATGATCCCCAAAGGTCTCACCCAGGGAGCCCGGAGCGCAGCAGCAGCAACAGGAAGTGGGCCAGGCTCACGCCACCTGCTCTGCCTGATACAAAGGGCCCATCACCCGCCTTTGTCAGGGTCTCACCTCTGCTTGGCCAGGACGGAGCTCCATGACGCCCTCTCCAAGGGGAGGTAGTTCAAGAGAATCTGCAGAGACAGAAGAGCGAAGCTCTGGCAACGCCCAGCCCAGCCCTGGAAGCACATGGAGGCTGAGAGGCCTCAAAGAAAATGTCTGATAAACCCCGGAGACAGCAAGATGGGCTAAATAAAACCCAGGGACACAGGCATGGGCTGGGGGCAGCCTCCCCTTTTCTCCCCACTGGCTTCCCCCACCTTCATCCTGAACCAGCCCTTTCTACTGCATTTCCTCACACAGACTCTTCCAAACGATAATAAAACTCTGTGCTCAAAGGGGTTGGAAACCAGGACACCGGGGTTCTGCTCCCACCTCAGCGAAAGGCTTTAGGCGAAGTGCAGCCTTTTTTTGTCCCAATAAGCATCACTTCCACTGAGCTGTCTGGACCAGGAAGCAGAGGGCTTCGCTGGCATTACAAAGTGTTCCATCCCCAAGGGGATCCTGGAGGGGACGCCAAGAGAAACAGAAAACCCAGAACTTCCCAGAAGAGCTTCCTGGGACAAGCAAGGAAAGACAGAGAACAGGAAGAAGGGGCCAGGGGTGGGGGCAGCCCATGCAGGAACCCAGGGACTCTCAGCAGAGCAGAAGCTCCAACCCAGGCACACCCACCTTCCAGCAGAGGCACCGCAGTCCGCCCTCACAGGGGATGCCTGTGGACATAGCAGGCAGAGGTCACGCCCCCGCAGAGTCCCAGAACCCCCCAGTCCTCCACCTCGGAGCCAGTCGGCAGGGAACGGAGGGGGCAAGAAATACTTCTTCAAGGATGGTTTTCTGCCAGGAAGATCACTAGACTAGACGCTAATCCTGTGTGTACTCTCTCTTCATGGCCCGTCTGGAATGTTCTTTTGAGGATAACACCTTCTCACCCTTGATATTTCTTCCTCAGAGCAGCCTTTACCAACCACCATCTCTTCCCAAACAAAGTCAGGTCCCTTGACATAAACAATAATAGCTCCATCACTTCTCCTTCACAACATCCACCACAAATGGGATCATATAATGTCATTTGTATATTTATTTAACATCTTTAACCCCTACTACTGGGTAGGCCCCAGAAAGACAGAACCAAATTTGTCTTACAGTCCCAGTACCTAGCCCAGGGCATGGCCCACAACAGGTAGTCCATAAGTGTCTGTGGAATATAAACAAAGCTATGAATGCTAAGTGTTTTGGGCTTTAAGGACATTGTTTCACTTAATCCTCATTATAGCCCTAGTAAGTAGGGAAGATCAGCGTTATTGTCTCCATCTTACAGATAAAGAAACTCATCTGTAAAGTTAGAGAAATCCAGGACTCACACACAGGTCTGTCTGACTCTAGAGCCCAATCCCCTGGGGCCTGGCAGATTCTTCAGCTCAGCACAGATGCCAAAACCCCTCAAGATCTTCAGGGCCATGTTATAAAGCAGAAAATAACACACCACTGTAAAGCAATTATACTCCAATAAAGATGTTAAAAAAATAATTAAAAAAAAAGATCTTCAGGGCCATGTTATAAAGCAGAAAATAACACACCACTGTAAAGCAATTATACTCCAATAAAGATGTTAAAAAAATAATTAAAAAAAAAGATCTTCAGGGCCTAAATATCACTCCTGAACAGAAAGACAAACTTCTTCTGAAATACTGTCATGAACCTCGCTAAAGCAGCTGTTGCTACCGTCTCCCCAGTACCGTGAACAGGAGCTAATGTCCCCACCTCAGAATCTGCATGGGGATGAAGGGGGCAACTCAAGCATTACTTGCTGACAAAGTTACAAGGGCAGAGCAGTCACAAGAAGCTACCTAGAACACCTTGGGGTATTTTTAAAGACAAGCAAAAGCCTCTGTGTTGAGAAGTTAACAGGCCACGGAGGGCAAAGTCAAAAGCTGCTGGGGTTCAGCTCCTTAAACTGAGTGTCTCAAGGCTGGAACCTTACCATTAACCAAAGTTCACTGCTGCCTGAGTTGGCTTTGATCCTAAGCCAGGGATAGAACCAGGAACCACTCTGTAGCTAACCAAATTCTACAAGACAGGAAGCTTGCTGAGGAATGAGGAAAGACCTGACCTCGGCTCACGAAGTCTCCCCTCTGCCCTCCAGTTACTCTCAGGAAGCAATCAGCATCATTTATAGGCCAATAAGCACCCTGTCTAAGGCCTACAGGCATGCTAGTTGTGGCCACCACTGCTCCAGGAACCCCCTCCAAGCTCAGGGTAGTCACTGGTTGTTCAGCTCCACAGAAGCTGGAGATGGCCCCAAAAGGCAGGCTGGCCCCCAGAACTGGCCAAGATGTGGCCTTGAGCACCCTCCCCTCCATCTTAGTCACAACGCTGCTCTAGGAAAACCCTGAAAACGGAGAGTTGCCTCTTACCACTAAAACTGAGCTCCTGAAGCTTTTCCAAGGCAATTGTGGGCTCCTTCAGGACATCCTGGAAATCTGCAATCCTAGAAGGACGGAGGGGGAGGCAAATGAAGCACAACCAAACCCCAAGATGACAGGCTTAGCGACCACTCCTAAAGCCCACAGCTCCCTTACACCACCAGTCTTCAACCTGTTCCTCCCTCCCCTTCGGGACATAAAGATGGCAAAGCTCAAGCTTTGGCCAAAGGCAGCTTTGGAGAACTAGAGACCACTTTTTCCTCTAAGCCCAGAAACGTAAAGATATTCTTGTCTAGAGGTTCTCAAATGAGCACCATGAAATTAGACACATTCTAATATTTAGTGAGCTGGCATTTATAGGGCACTTCCTGCTGGCCAGGCCCAACACACTGCTGCTATCTGAACTCAAAAAACCCTAGGAATCAGGAGTAATTTGATCTGTAGACAAGGACCTGTGTAATCAGCATTCCAAGCTCAAATATATAACCATTAGAAGAGCTCTGGGCCTGCCCGCAGGCAAGGACAAAAGGTTTAAAAAACAAGTCCTGCACCAAGGCGGGAAAGTGGGGGGAGGGGGATGAATTGGGTGATTGGGATTGACATATATACACTAATATATAAAATAACTAATAAGAACCTGATGTATAAAAAGTAAATAAAATTAAATTAAAAAAAAAAACCAAGTCCTGGAGGAAAACTGAGGAGTGAGCAAAATTAGCCAAGGCTGCAGGATTTGGCCTGAGGAGAGAACAAACTGGAGAATCCAGGTTTTCTAGCATTTCTAGTAAGAAAAGGACACGTGGGACGGGGGGCATCTGGATAGACTAGGGTACTGGGGCAAAGGGTTAACAAGGGAAAAAAGGACAGGAGGTGGGGGTGAGATCGGGCATCGAGGCCCTAGAAGAGGAAGACACCAGGGGAAGGGATCCAGGGTGAGGAAGAGACAGAGAGAGAGAAAAGGGGCGACACCGAGGGGCAGGAGAGGTGTCCACGCTCCGTGCCCCCCTCAGGCCCACAGCAAAGAGGTTGGAAAGTAGGCGCCCAAAACCTTCTGCCAGGGGCAGGGCGGGGGTCGTCTCGGTTCATGGCCGCATCCGCGCGCTCCCTCCGCAGGTCAGAAGGGGCAACCTGGCCAGGAGCGGCCTGGCTGGTCTGCCCCAGTGGCCCCTTACCGGCTCTTGTGCAGACTCGACATGGTGTTGACTTCCGGATCCCCCCGCTGCCTCCGCCGCCGCCAGCGCCGCCGCCCCTCAGGGACGCGGCGCGCTGGGCAAAAGCCTCCGACCGGAAACAGCCTCAGGCGCGCGCGTTCTGCTTCGCCCCGCCCCGTTCACGTGCCACCCCTTCTCCGCCCTGCCGTCTGGCGGCGCGGCGGGGTGGGCGGGGCAAGAGAACGCTGGGAACACGGCCCCGCCTCCGCTCCCCCACCAACGAGGCCCGCGGTCCTAGTGCGCCAAGTTTGAGGTCGCGTAGGTGATTGCGCGGTCTGTGCTCCCCAAGGCTATTCCTTGACCTTTCCTGGGCCTCAGCTTCCAACTAGGCAGTATACCTGTCACCTTGTCCTCTTCCTTACACGTTCCTCACCTGCAATAAGTTATTGAGTTATCGTTTCAGGGATGTAGACCTTCCCTGCTAAACTATACAAGGCCTGCCGGCTGGTCTT